GTTGGACAACAATGGAGCTATGTGGCACAGATGAGGAAGACAGACACACAATATTTGTTAGTAGATACATTTAGTGCTGGTTTGGGTTCTTTTCATGAGATTTGTAGACAGAAATATAGAATATCACCAACCTCATCCTTAAAAGCTGAATTTTTTTTTTTTCTTGCTCAACCACACACACACACACACACACACACACACACACACACACGCCATGAAATATGGGCCAAGTAATCCAATCTGTAATGGACTGTTGTGTTTACATAAAGTAAAGCTGGACCTATTCCTAAAATGCTGTCAAGCTCTTCAAGCATTCAAAATATACACACACACTTCAGTATTTAAACCTAGCAGATGTTGAGCCAAACCTGGAAAGAATAAACTTTTTTTTTACAGCAGCCATTTTGACATGAAATAGTAGGGTAAACACAGGTGATACTAACTGAGGCTCCTTTCCATGCTCAAACACACAGCTAAAGGTGCGCACAAACATTTGTGGTTAAAGCGAAATCAAGTTAAAGCGTCCGCTGTCACTGACTTTCAATTGAGTTTTTGCAATAACACTTTAAGTTGCATTGCCACTTGCAGCCTTCCTTTCTGTTTTGCATTGAGCCCAATTAATACAGAAAATCGCAGCCAGCCTGAAACCAAACAGAAGGTTTCGGCTGCAGCTGTCCACACATATAACAATGCCCCGATCATTGTATAGCAGTCTTGAGGTTGTTCTGCTTTTCTAATGGAAACCTACATGTTAGAGTGGGAGGGTGTTGCTTTTGAACTGTTATTTTGTATTCCATTTAACTTCAAATGATCAACTTGTAGCATGTTTACCTACCTACTTTATTCATTAGAAAATAACATAAGTTCAGTTAACATTTCATACATCTTTGAGGCTGACATTGACCTATCTTACCTTGCATATGTTTTATTTTATCTTATCTCTCTAAATTTGTTTAATCTTTTTCCTCTGGTCCCTGCAAATAGATGGCAGTTCTCTCAGTTAAAAAACTTTGCAAGAATGATCGGGACATTTAATTCAGCGTCTGTCAGATTAGATATTCACCTGTACTGCACCTTTACTATACAGCTGTAATATTATTTTACTTTTTTAACCAATATCACCACCAGATCATTAAAGAACAATGAATTCTAACAAATATGTATGATAGGGTGGGCAGTATGTTAACATTTTCCAGCCTGCCTCTGTCAGTCCAACAATCAGCAATTGCGGGTATTTTTTTGCAATTGCCACAAGCTATGTCTATTTTCCTCTCACCCGTTCGACGCAGACCATTAAATTAGCAAAATAAAACTACAAAAATCACCCAAAACACAATCAGTGACGGACTGCCGACAGCCGATATTCGTCCAATCTCCCAACCCTAATGTATACATTTTCCGAGAAAACATTGCATCAAAAGAGTGTGTGCCCATAACTGACAGATGTTAGCATTCAGTGCAGGGAAGAAAACGCCTGAGGCAACTTAAATGGTAACTGTTGATTGTGATTACACAACATATGTTTAATCCCAACAAAAATATCCCCATACACCAGAAAGATCAGCAAAACTCATAATTAGCTGTCTAATTAGCACACACTGTTGGTGTATTCGGAGCGTGGTGAGTCAGTTTGACGCTGAAAAATCTATTCAATCCATCAAATCAGTTTGTAAACAAAGGCACTAATTGTTGAGATGCATGTAGAGATTGCTCTTTTAAAACCATGGAAACACACTGCATGATCTTCTCTTTCACATTCAGGATAAAATCCATCATATGCAGTGTGAGAAACAGTATCTTAGTTCTAAGCAAATCCTCACCAAAGATCGTCCTGTTTCTTTCCTTTCTGCCTCTTGTGGAATCTCAGTACAAGGGGCTGAAAAACAGGACGGACCTTAATGTCAGAGTGAACACAACACACAGCAATCTGACCCTAACCCTCAGGCCCAGTGAGCGTCTAAAACAAATGAATTTGCATATTATAGAAAAGAGTACAATACAGTCCAATAAACAGCCTTTATGCCACGGTTATCACATACATGTAGTTGTTAGAAAAAGTCAATTAGAAACAACTAGACTGGTTCTTATACACTCATTTGTGACCATATTACATGTTAATAAGTGTGAGAAAAGCTGTTCTTCTATTACAAACTTCTTAAATCATCTTTTGAATCACCTGGGTGTTAACAGGTAGTCAGCTGTGTCATGATATGCTGATGTTGTTATGTTATGAAAAACAAGCATATAAAAATATAAAAACATCCATGTTTCCATTTTGCTGTTGGAAGCGGAGCAGTTGATTAATGACTGCTGCCAAAGCAAACACCAAACACCAGTCCAGAGATTAGATTAAGGCTGCGTTCACACTGTTCCACCTGTTTTGTTCAGGAACCACTGTGGCAGCCACAGTTTTGGTATGAAGAAATGAGAGAACTTTCCAAACTTCTAAAAAGTAAATTGCCTGTAGCAAGTCTTATAGCAGTGCAATTTCAATTTTGTGTTATGTTATGTGTGTTTCAAAGTACGTAGAGAAAGGTACAGCTGAGCCACACCACCCACTTCATTGCAAATGGAGTCTGTTATATACTAACCAAGTGTAAAAAGATTACCACCTGATGAAAATTTACAGTGTGACTGTGTTTGAACTACTGACTTTGTGCCGGCACGCGTCTGTGTTGTTTGACCCCCTTTTGCCACACCCAGCCTGATGCTGCCCCACCGCAGTAAAGAGAGTGCACCCCAACAAGTGGAAACAGACTCAGACAAGCACACACTCACATTAGTGATAAAGCCTATTTTATATTTGTTGTCACTGTCAAAACCTCCTCTCTCCTCACAGGTGCGAGGGGTGGGCCCCCTGACCAGACGAGGGTTCTACCTGGCCTTCCAGGACATCGGCGCCTGCATCGCCCTCACCTCTGTGCGGGTGTACTACAAACGCTGCGTGGGTGTGAGCCGGAACCTGGCGGTGTTCACCGATGTGGTGACGGGCGCCGATTCCTCTTCGCTGGTGGAGGTCAGGGGTCAGTGTGTGGATCACGCAGAGGAGAGGGACACGCCCAAGATGTACTGCAGCGCCGAGGGGGAGTGGCTGGTGCCCATCGGGAGGTGTGTGTGCTCCGCTGGGTTCGAAGAACACAGAGACTCCTGCGTTGGTAAGTTGACGTTGGTTTGTTGAGGCTGGTGTGAACACTGATTCTAACTGGTGCAGACCAAGGGACCAGTCCGAGACAAGACAATTCTTGTGGGGGTTGTTTGTGATGGGAACACAAAGAAGGCCAATCACAGGATTGTGCAACAGTCCATGTGACTTTAGCTTAATTCATAAGCTAAACTACAATTAAATACAAAATACTGAATCCATGTGCTGATTGTGGGAGCTGTCAAGGAAGTGATACAGTATATCAAAATATCTACATAATTTGGCATGATCATTCAGTAACAATTTGTGGTGTAAGGGGATCTGTTATTTGGGAAAAGGAGAAGTATTTTGGCTGTTCTTCATTAAAAAGCGAGTGAAATGTAGGGACCAGACAGTATCAGCCCACACTCCCCTCACTGTGATATTACTGCACGAGACACCTCCTTTTCATCCTGTTTGCAAAGATGGGGACAGACCTGGAGACTAGCATAAACCTAACTGAGCATGGATTCTGCTGTGTTCCTGTACCAATAATAAATAAAATCAGACATTCATTAAACAGAGCTCACCCTGCTAATCTCTACTGCATGAATCACTATGAGGTATGAGATGGATGGAGAGATGAGGGGAACACACAATGTAAACTCTTCGGAGAGAGCAGGAGGTTAGTGAACTTAATCAGAGCGAGACAAACTTCAGCTGAGCTGTGGCTCCGCTCTAAAACCTGCTACTGCCTCACTCAGCTCATCGCAGTTTTTATAGCTTACTTGCTTTTGTCCCTGGGTTTAAAGACCTGACCACCAATATCGCAGAATCCCCAGTTTGTGTCTCCCTCTCCCCTCATTTTCTGTCATCTCTCT